CCCCCACACAACACACACACTTGATAATAGTGATGATCACATCAGTGTCTGTGGCACTGATGTAAGCAGGTGACGCTCGATTCCCAAGTGGGGAGACTCTTTATCGAGTATCTTGACCTTTTTGCTGGGATGTCGTATCCTTTTAAGCCTGGGTTTGCCCTCAAAGGCAGCGTGGAAAGCCCACTTCCTCAATAATCTAAATTGTGTTGATGGGGGCGTAAAAACCTGTAATTTTAATTTTTTTTAAAAACGATGACCACAGTCAAGTACTAAAAAGGTACCACACAATGCATGCACAAAGTAATGTATAGGCTACATGATAAAGTTATCTATAAAAAAAACTGATCAGGAATTTTTAACTTTCACATTGTCTAAAAAACTTATTTCCACACACCTTTTCCCTGGCTTCAACCACAGGCAAGGGAGAGTACTTGTGGTCAAACCTGTAGTTCTGATAGACAGACAGCGCCCCCTCAGGGATGAGATCCTCCGGAACAGCCACCGACCCCCCGCCAGTTGTGGTGTCCAGCTCCAGATTCTCCAGCAGTTCCGACACTGCACCTGGTGACAGTCCACTTAAAGACTGGGAAATATGCGCAAAACCAGGACCATTCAGTACAAAGGCATACAAGTCTCCTTGTTATAGTTTGTGTTTTACAGCACAGCATTTGCAACACAATTTGGTCATAGGTCATACATAAGTGCCCAAAATTAGAGGTGTTACAAGAGAATAACAAACAAAGAAGTAGGAGAAGAGATCAGGACGATTGGTGTTTGATAGGAAAGAAGGAGCAAACCACACCAGAGTATCCACCAACCATCCCTATACAAGTCTCTTTTACACATCAAAAATGGCAGTATACTGATTTTGTGTATTCATCAGAGACCCAAGACACAGTATTAGTTTTCATTCATAGCAAGAATTTTACTGCACTTGCAACACAAAATAAGTCACATGATAAGTGCAGAAGATTACAGGTGTTACTAGAGAGTAACAGACAAAGAAAAGATGGAGAAGAGATATATAAGAACGAGATGTTTGATAGGAAATATATATATATATTTATATATACAGAAACAAGAATCTTTACACTGATGCGCGCAAGTAAGCATGGTGCAAAATTATTAACCAAGCTCACATGGGCAAGATTAAATTTACAGCAGCAAACAAAAACCCAAACTTAAGAGACAAGTATAATTTAAAAAATAATAAATAACAGGTACTCTTTACCTTATCTTATCTGTCATGCCTGGTGGTGACAATTTTAAACAGTGTGATCAGTTGTGCAAAAAGTTGGAAAGCACTTGAAACAATAATAACCCCAATCAATTCACATAAAAAATTTTTCCAAGAGTCAGAAACCAAACAGCAAGGCTGGAGCTGTGAAAATGAAATTTGGCTTTAACAACATTTTGTCTCCGAGTCAATCATTACATTTACAGAAACAACTGATTTGTTCCCCCTTAGCCCCAACGTAGGCCTAAGAGAAATGTTTAAAATCCAATAAACTATACAATCCTATTGCATTTACAAAATAAACTGCTCAACTTCTATGAAAAATTAACAGGTGCTTTGGAACTTTGTTGGAAGGCCAAATTCAAAATAGGTCTTTTTACATGTGAGACCAAGTTTCTATGTTAATTTTAGACAGACTTTCCAATCCACAAAAATGGATGACTTGAGTGGTTCCTGTCGAGTATTGTCCATGATATTACTCACAGTGCCTGAAACTTGAGCTTGTGAAAGCAAGTCCTCCTCCTCCTGCCTTCTGTACTGCTCCACATACTGGCATCTTGTAGGATGATGAGTGCTCCTGAAAATCATGATTTAAACAGTAACATTTCAGGTCAACTTTATCAGACAGAAAACACAAAAGAAACCTTCAAATAATAATAAATAGCATTTGTATAGCGCATATCCCCGCTCAACAGCAGGCTCTATCTATGCGCTTTACACTATATTATTACCCCAGCAGACCACAGAACACTCCGAAACATTCTCAGCTTCCTGGGAAGCATACAGTGCAAGCAGCTGATTAAGCGCTAAAACACTAACAAACTGACAAGATCTTTCGCTGTGTATAGCCGGGTACCTATTCCCACCTGGGTGAAGTAAGGAAAATTCATGTGAAGTGCCTTTCCCAAGGACACAACATCGGGCCCCTGAAACATAAAATAATTTTTTTAATAGAGAGGTGGAAAAAGTTTTTACATTACAGTGGAATCCTGTTATAACGAGAGCGAGGGGACCGGTACGAAATGTCCGTTATAGCAGGAATCTCGTAGTAAAGGATCCAGTAATAAATTCAAAGGAAATAATAAAGTAGGCCTAATCTATGAGTTTGCTGTTCTGTTTATTTCTTTTTGTTATCTGCTCTGATAATGGCTTTGTTCAACATGACATCTAGGTCTTACTTGATCAAAAATTGAATCAGGTTTCTTTCTCTAGCGTTAGTGAAGTTGACAGCTCGGCGTTGGCTATCAGAACAAAAGTTCTCAGTTAAGTTGCCCTCTGTGTTTTCCACCACCGCACCACACTCTGTGGTGCGTTCCCGTGTTTGCTTGCGCACGTTACATATTCGCTCCATGATCCATAACAGCACTGTACCTCTCCATCCCCGCATCGGAGAAGTGAGAGGCATGATAGGCCTAGATAATCTAGACTAGGCTGGCCTATCACTATCAGGCAATGCGTTCTGCTTCACAACGGCTTGTCTGCGCATGCCATACCCTCCCCACTCATTCGCTCCGGCCTTCATCGTTAGCACATGGGCTCTCCCATTCTTTGTTTCGCTTGATCACAAACAAGTCTCTCAACTAGCGAGGTTTTACATTATAAATGGCTTATACGCTGTGCACAGCAGCAGGAATATTCCGCTATAACCGACTCGCGTGTTTATCTGACTGATTGCGTTATAGCAGTATTTTATTTACAAAGATAAAGAAGGGAAAAAACAGGGTTTTAGAATTATGTCTTTATAACAGACTTCTCGTTATTTCAGGACTCATTATAAGTGGACTCCACTGTATTATATTTGTTGTTCATTTCTGGTTATGATGATCATAATATACTATTTCAAAAGTCTGCATCATAATTTTCCATAAATATTCCATATCCCGACTTTAATTCGGTAAGATGACTAAGTCGAGCGCTCTTTCATCTCATGGGATAGAATGCTTGAACTATTACATTAAAAAATATAAAGATCTACATCACTGTCGATGTCCGGGGGCGGGTGGGGGATGGGGGTGGTGAGAATAGCGGGTCATGAGTTATTCTCACCAGGGCTGAGATTGAGAATATAGAGGCGGCCTCAAGTTTTTTAGGCAAACTTTATTGGATGATGCTTTTCAGTCTACTTCTACTTCTAGGAAAGTTGATTCCTGCGGCCTTTATCTCAAACCAGGCTTTTACGCAGGTTTTAGTTTTAGAACAGGCTCTTATGTATGCAAGATTTAATAAATTACCTGCGATAGCTCGGCAGCTTGGCGTCAGTCTTTTTTCGCACGTCAGGCGTATGTGTTCCTCCACTCTCTGAATCAAACAAGTGGCCCTGCAGTGTGGAAGTTGCAACCGCCTCAGGTTTCTTCGTTTGTTTACTCGCATCTTGTCCAATCCTAAACCAGTCATCAATATCATTTAACTCCAACTCCCCAGTTATAATCGACATTTTCAGTCGACGTCCACTGCCTTCTCCGTATGAGAACCACAGTCCTAACTCGTCTACTGTTCTTGGTTTCGCTTTCGTCAGTGTGGTAAGTTGTTCCGTTCGGAAGAAGGAAAGGAAATCCCAATCCGCTACACTCAAGAATGGCAGATCGCCTGAGGACTGAGAGATTATAGGCCAAAGTGTTGGCTAAGCCGTAAAAAGGAGCCAAAATATTAGCTAAAACTTCTGCAAAATGCATGAATTCCAAAAGAAACTACTATATCTAACCCCCCCCCCCCCCCCCCCCTTTCCTCCATCCCAGCTGCTGGTGCGAGAGGGCTCCCACTTCAACCATCGAGACAAGAAAGGGGGTAGGCTAGCCAAACCAAGAAAATATCACTTTTGAATAAATGATAATAAATGGCAATTAATGACAAATGCGCCCATTGCCACAACAATGTGTAAAAAAAGTGTTGATTTTGTTTAAAGAAATTCATAGAAAACTAGAATTCTATATTAACTATTAATAAGAAAAGAAAATGTTGTTTTTTAATCAGGAAACTAGACAAAGGGTCAGGTGAGTTTCAGCAGAGAAATTCTCAAACTCTGTATTGTTTTGAAACGTAAATTGCGGCAAATTTACAAAGATCGTAATTGGTTACCACAGCATTCTTTTTCAGACAACGCCCTTTCTTCTCTCTCCTCCCCACCATTCGACAGTATTCACCTTCCTGTCCTTTCACACTGAAACTCCATGTAACCTTTGATCAACATTTTAAAAAATTATAATATATGGCTTATATAAATCAGAGTACATGTACATGTAGTATTATCCACAATAGGACACTGCCAGATATGGATAGGGCCAAACTGGCAATGAGTTGACATCAGTGGATTGGGGAATCCCGAACAAATAAATGGTGCTATAGGCCTACAGATCAATAAACTGCCCGAGACCTGTGTCCCTATCTTGGATAATAATAATAATATGGAAATCATGAAACTCCTCTTAGATGTGCACTGTCCAGATCAGCTGCTCAAGACCAGTGTGCAGATCAGAGCAAGCTGTTGATAATTACTGAGTTGTCTCGTCTGCTAAGTTGGGAAAGTGACACTGAGAGGACAGCGGTGATTTTATGATGGGCTATTTATTACTATTACACCGCCCCCCCCCCCCCACACACACAATTACTATTACACCGCCCCCCCCCCCCACACACACACACATAAACTCATAATAACGTCATGAAAATCTGGAACTTTTGTTGAGTAAACGGGCGGGGAAAAAAAGAGGAGGGGGGTATGTGATTGTATGAAGATTTTCCAAGTTTTGCATTTATTTCCCCTGATAACAATAAAGGCAATGTTACAGGCCTAGATCTACACTCCCAGTTATCTCCTAGTAGAGGCATTTGTAGCTTTCTCAGCCTCTCCTACAACTATTTCATCGCATAAGAACCCCCCCCCCCCCCCCACCAAAAAAAAACCCCCAAAAAACCGCATTTTTTTCCCATACCGGGCATGTTTGTCCCCCGCCATTTCCTCATAAAGTCAGTATTTTATTTTTCTTTATCGGCAGTTTTCTCAAAACGTGAGTTTTCTCTATACTTGTTTTTAAATTACTCCACCATTTCTTATCCAATCTTCATGAAAATTTCACAGAATGAAGAGAAGATGTAATACTAAAAATCTGTCTGTTTAATTTTTTATAAATGGAATAGATTTTTGTTGGTGGTGTCTGGAGTGTGGATTTTCACGGATATTTTGCAAACTTGAATTTTTACCTCAGGAAAAAATTCATTAAAAATTTTATAATTCGTTCAGGAAAAAAAACAACACAAAAATGTTTAAATCTAATGTTTGTGAACACGCATACAAAACAAAAAAACCCAATCAATTTCCATGAGCGATAAGTGCGGTATTCATTACGTAAGACATGTAAAAAAAATCCAATATGACCGCAGTATCCATGGAAAAAAAACTTTTTTCTAAAATTTGATTGCGGATTTTAAGACTCTTATGCTTGTTATATGTATGAAATTTGGTAAAATTCGGTGTATAAATAAGTGAGATAGCCCCCCCCCCCCCCCCCCCCCCCCCCCCCCCCCAAATTAGGTCCTTGTTTAATTTGTAAATAAACCACACAAAAAAATATTTTCCTTTCACCGGGTTCTGTACGACAAAAAGAAAAGGCACCTGGGAAAATTGAACTAAGACAAATAAAATAACACACAAATAATTTAATATTATTAATAGGCTAGCATTCTTTGTACATCTATGGATAGGCCTATGTATAGCATATAATTATCTTTATTGTATGATAAGGTCTGGGCCTATATACATAGATCTAAACACACACGCACACACGCGGAATAATAACGTGTGTGTGTGCGTGTGCTTGTATGTGCACATGTGCGCAAGTGTGAGTGTGTTTGTGTGTGTGTGTGTGTGTGTGTGTATGTGTGTGTGTGTGTGTGTGAGTGAGTGTGTGTGTGTGTGTGTGTGTGTGTGTGTGTGTGTGTGTGTGTGTGTGTGTGTGTGTGTTTCTTTTTGTGTATGTAAACATTTATAGGCCTATAAAATATCGTGTGTGTGACACGGTATAGCCTTCGCCTAGTCCCCCCCCCCCCCAAAAAAAAAAAAATCTCCCTTAAAAAAACAACAACAGTGTTACAGAGCATTTTAATTTCTTTGCTCTTGGCGCTGGATCTCGTGTATTTAACACATCACTGTCAACATCAGGGACCATTGCGTTTTGTCTTCTTAATTACACACACAATATTAATTTGGGTTATCGTCCGCTATTAAAAAAAAAAATATATATATATATATATTAATTTGGGACTTGGGTACAAATATTTGTAAAAAGTGTTTCTAAACTTGTTAATGCATTAAATAAGTAAGTAGAGGGAGTGCAGAGACTCTTCATTGGGGAAGGACATTAATCTGGTTAATAATTGTTTTGAATTTACCGGTAGCAAAATTAACCAGCAATCACAAGGTGTCACATTGTCAGATAATGGAGTCCACTTATAACGAGTCTTGAAATAACGAAAAGTCTATTCTAAAACCCCCCCGGGGGGGGTCTTTATCTTTGTAAATAAAATACTGCTATAGCGCATTCAGACAAACACGTGAGTCGGTTATAGTTGAGTACTGCTGATGTTGTGCCCAGTGCATAGGCCATTTATACATATTAACATTTTTAACTTCACACATTTCGAAAGCGTGTAACTCAAAAACTACACATCCAATTAATTTGAAATTTTTACACATGTCACGTAAGCTCATTGTTATTCGTGAACTGTACTCACTAGGGTGCATTGGTCTATCGTTTTGTCTGACGATGTCATTCACGTGATTTTGAATTTTGTTAAATACTGTGAAAAAGTGTGGATGATTTTGAAAACAAAAACAACACACACAAAGTTGGACTCCTTCCAAGTTTTTTGCCACATGTAAAAGTGGCTTCTCTTTTTCGATTCACCATGCTTCGGCTGAATGATTCAGACAAAAATCACATCATTGAAATGCTTCAGGTGGGCCCTTCGCTATCGTTAGTCACGAGTAGGTTCAACGTGAACAGATACATTGTATATGCCACACGGGATCACATGGCAACGATAGGCTCTCAAAAGGAACAGACCCAGGCGAGTGGATCGCAGAAAGACAAAACGGAGGGTGGACTCATTCATCCTAACGCAACGCTTGAAAAATCCGTTTCAACCGTCAAACAAAGGCCCAGGATGAGTCGGAAAGACTAAGAAATGACAGTCCGGTCTTAGTCATGACTGTTCTTCTTCGATTGAAACATATGAACCTTCGTGATAAAAGGGCCTAGTTTATCGCACAGAAATGCAGCCCCATCACATTCAGCACATACTTCACTGGGCACAGCGTCGTGTGTGATAGCCAAGGCTAAATCAACCCAGTTCTCGAGGCCAATATACTGCTTTTCTTTCAAAATCAGGCCCAGGGACAAGTATTATGTTTTTCAAAACTAGCAATATTCCTCCCCAGTGGCGGTGGGTGGACCAAGATTTGGGTGGGGCTTAGGTTTCTTCCATTTCTTTACCACCTAAAAGCAAGCAATAAGAACAAAACAGGGATGATTTGTCTATATTCACGGCGAGCCACGGCATTTTGAGAACCATTCAAGCGAAAAGAGTCACCTTTGTCTTCCATCTCTTTGTTCTACGTTAAATTCTTTTGGATGGCGGGGACAACGCCGTTTCACCTCCAACTTTCTCTAGTTTTTATCAGAAGAAAAAGTTGCATCAAAAGTGGTTTTATGTAATTAATAACTGTTAAATCTCAGCGGCACAAACACACAGCACCCCAAACACATACCGTCTATGAGGTGGATTGAGCATTGGGTCGTGTTGTTGCGGGAAAATAAAACGCGCCTAACAAAAGGCCTAATGGGCTTGTAAACTTCCACCCCATTGTCAGGGCTAGGAGAGCGTGAGTCCTCTGTGCAGTGTTATTGTTTCCAGTCTTCTTTCTTTTTACCAGAGGGGTTTCATTAAAGGAAGGACCGTGGGAACGGGCTGGTCGATTGTTGAGCCCTAAAGACATTTGACTGGCTGTTAGATTACTATAGTTGTACGCCGTGACAACAGTGATTGGATAAACGAGCAAGCCGCCAAGTTGATAACTCTGTGTTCATTGCGGGCGATCAGACAGTTTCAACTGCTCGTTTCGTTATTTTCATTTGCCTTGGGATAAACTTGAGGGGTGGGGAGGAGGGCTCAAGCCCGTGAGCCCTTCACTACCCACCGCCACTGCCTCCCCTGCACCCATGACCAGCGCATTTAACCAAATTTCAACCCAATTGAGCATTTGCGGGACATTTTAGATTGCGACATTGGTGCAACACCACGCCAGCCCCGTACCCCATGCTCAGTTAGATTAAGCCTTAGGGGCTGTTCAAATTTAATGTTACACCTGGAAGGG